GCAAAGAGCTTTAGACGTAGTCGACACAGTGGCCAGAGCAACGACGACATCCGTAGTCATGCGACGGGCATCTTGGCTACAGTCAGCAGCCGTGCCCCATGCATTACAATTGAAGGTGGAAGATCTTCCCTTTGACAAATTGAAGCTATTCGCTGAAAAGATGGATGATGTACTCCACTCAAGTAAAGACTCAAGGACCACTCTACGTATGTTGGGGATGTCCACACCACCATGCCGCCACAAAAGACATCCGTAGTCATGCGACGGGCATCTTGGCTACAGTCAGCAGCCGTGCCCCATGCATTACAATTGAAGGTGGAAGATCTTCCCTTTGACAAATTGAAGCTATTCGCTGAAAAGATGGATGATGTACTCCACTCAAGTAAAGACTCAAGGACCACTCTACGTATGTTGGGGATGTCCACACCACCATGCCGCCACAAAAGCTACACCCCATATCAAAAGCAACGAGAATTCAGATACCAACGTATAACGAGTGGGGATTTGATCAGTCCAAACTGAGACAGCGTTCACAAAGAAAGCAACCACAGAACAACTGCAACATCAACAGTCAAGCCAACAAGCAGCAGGTTTGACCCCTTAGTCAAGGGCCTGCAAAACCTACCACTCTCCCCTCAGCCATCACACCCTGGTCCGATTTTTCATCACCGTTTACGACCCTTTCGACATTGATGGAATACCATCATGACAGTTCGCTAGGTTTTAGAAATAACAACATCAGGGTACATCCTACCATTCACCAAATTACCTCCAACCTCTCTACCCTCCCCGTCCCTCTTCAAGGACCCTTCCCATGAGATACTGCTCCGACAGGAGGTACAACGGCTACTAGAACTTGGAGCAATAGAGGCTGTTCCCGTCAAATTTCGGGGCAGAGGATTCTATTCACATTACTTCCTCATCCCAAAAAGAACTGGAGGATGGAGACCGATTCTAGATCTCCAAAGATTGAACCGCTACCTGCGGAAACAAAAATCCAAAATGGTTACCCTGGCAACGATAATCCCGGCACTGGACAGGGGAGACTGGTTCACGGCTCTTGACTTTCAAGACATGTATTTTCACGTGACCATTCATCCGGCACACAGATGCTTTCTCCGATTTACATTAGGACAAGACCATTACCAATACAAGGTGCTCCCATTTGGCCTTTCCATAGCTCCCAGGGTATTTTCAAAGACTCTGGCAGTGATGGCAGCATACCTTAGCAGACAGCAAGTAGTCATATTCCCCTACCTGGATGACTGCTTAGTCAAGGGCACGTCAGAAGCGGAAACACGATGCATGATTTACATAACACGACAAGTATTCGAATGTCTAGGCCTCTTACTCAAATGTCCAAAAATTTACCCTGCTACCAACACAGGATTTTGAATTCATAGGTGCCCGTTAGATGTAACAGCAATAGCTTACTTGCCACTACAGCGATTCAATACCATTCAAGAATCGGTAACCACTATTACCGTCAGCCCCACAGTTACAGTACTTACATGCCTTCAACTCATGGGGCACATGGCGGCCACAACATATGTAGTCAGACACGCATGCCTGCACTTTCGATGCATCCAACATTGGATAGCCACAGTTTACTTTCATTGAAAACAAGAAGTGCACAAACGGGTTCCTCCCCTATCACGGGTATGACGATCCCTCACATGGTGGACCAAACCGTCCAATCTTTTGGAAGGCATGCCTTTCCATTGCGTCCAATCATTGATACACATAACCACCGATGCTTCCCTCATAGGGTGGGGAGCAGTTATGGTAGCAATGTCAATACAGGGAAGATAGCCAAGAGCTTACATTCCATATCAACCTATTAGAGCTCAGAGTGGTACACAACGCGTGCAAACAATTTGCCGCGCATATTCAAGACAAGGTAATGGGATTGGGGTAGGTCTGGATTAAGGCATGGGCTAGCCGGGCAGCTGCCTGGGACGCCAACCTATTAAGCTAGATGGGTTTATGAAGGGGATGGTTTGATGGGATAACATGATTTTGGCAACTAATTGACCTTTCACTATCAGTGGTAAATAGGCCAATGGTGGGATGATAGGAGTTACTATAGAAAATTTTTTCCTGGGTGTCTGGCTGGTGAGTCTTGCCCACATGCTCAGGCTTCAGCTGATCGCCATATTTGGGGTCAGGAAGGAATTTTCCTCCAGGGTAGATTGGCAGAGGCCCTGGAGGTTTTTCACCTTCCTCTGTAGCATGGGGCACGGATCACTTGCTGGAGGATTCTCTGCATCTTGGGGTCCTTAAACCATTTGAGGACTTAAATATCTGAGATATAGGTGAGAGGATTATTCTAGGAAAGGGTGGGTGAGATTCTGTGGCCTGCATTGTGCAGGGGGTCAGACTAGATGATCATAATGGTCCCTTCTGACCTTAAAGTCTATGGCTACATCTAGACTGGCATGATTTTCCGCAAATGCTTTTAACGGAAAAGTCTTCCGTTAAAAGCATTTGCGGAAAATCATGCCAGTCTAGATGTAGCCATAGACTTTAAGGTCAGAAGGGACCATTATGATCATCTAGTCTGACCCCCTGCACAATGCAGGCCACAGAATCTCACCCACCCTTTCCTAGAATAATCCTATGAACGCCAAGAAAGACATCAAATATTGCAGTAATTGACAACATTGCAACAGACGTCAGATATTAGCCCTTAAGAAAACCATCCACTTGTGCTCTTCACTTGCTCCCTAGTATACAACAGACGGAGAAAGGAAAATTTGCCTTATTTGCCCAGCAGGGATTGAGGGAGGAGTGTTCTCTCTTGTCATCACAATGGAACCCTTCTAGACCCTCTGTGAGCCAGGAATGGGATAAAAGCTACAGAACTCACCCCAATGAAACTTTTTTTTCCCTAAATCTGCAAATTGTGGTTTAGAATGAGCTTTCTGCATGGTACACTTAAAAGTGATGCCCCAGACTTCAAAGAGTGAGGGGACCCTGAGCTATTCACAGTGGGCTGTGTGGGATTAGAGCTGGCAGTTATATTGGGATGTTCGCTAATTAAAGACACTGTCTTTCACTTCAGGAAAAAGCAGCATGGCCAGAAGGGAAGGAATTTTTTTTTGAGTGAAATGTAGCAACTCTGCCACCATGTGGACAAAGGCTGGTGATGCTAGAGTGTAGTAAAGTGAGCAGTGAATTAACAGACCAACCCACAGCAGAGTACTCTCATTAACATGAGACATTTCCACTTTGAGCCCTGTGCAACAGCTTGTTTCAAGTTTTCATCTGGGTATGAATGCTCCTACAGGTTGTATGGACGTTCTGTGCTTAAATAGGGGTCTGCTTATATGGACCCTGATTCCATAACTTGGAAGGAAAATATAAGAGCAAATTACTAGTTGACAGAATTATGTATTTTATAGCATACTATGGAATTAGCATTTTTGTAAAATTTGTTATAAAATGCCTGTGGTCAGGAAATTGTCAGGCAGAAATACACACTGCCCTTTAAACCAGTCATAGATCCTCAGAGTCACAGTCATGGACCGAGACCTCATTGTTCTAGGCATTGTATGGACACAAAAAATCTGTTACAGCCCAGATTGCTTGTAATGTGGAGACTACATCTATTATGTGACCTAAAGGTGTGTGTTTCTCCTAATCATATACACATACATTGATGAAACCTAGCATGAGTATGTGTAAACAAGTCCATCTGACTCCCCTGGTATGAAAAATCTTGAGCAACACTGGCCTAAGTAGTCTTCTCTTTCTGAATAGTTAAAAAAAAAAAGCTAGGTTATTTTGAGTTGTAGGAAATCAAGCAGTGTAGTAGGTGTCCAAAATGGGTTTTTTCTTCCCTTACATAGTAGAACATGAGGGGAAGCTCACAGAGTTCTACAGTGCACTATTCTTTCATATTCAAGAAGACCTTTTTCAGCAACTAGTGGTCTCAGTGTAGGTGCTTATTTTAGATTTGTTATTCTGACAAAGCTTGCATGCAAAAACATATTCCTAAAAAAATCTCCGTGTGCGCCTTTAGATGCTAATAAAGCATTGCAGCCCAGAACTTGTAATATCCACCAGAAGTGTAGCAAGGGTATCGTGCCCGGGGGCAAAGGCAAAATTTGTGCACCCCCCCCCCAGCCGCCATTGTGTGGCAGGGCCCCAAACCTGGCGCACAGCTGAGCCCAACACTGGCAGGGGGGAGAGCTTGTACCACATCTTCCCCATCCCCTCCAGTTTGGGCGCGGGCCCCTATACGCACTGACCCGCCAGCGGAGATGGAGGAGGGTCAGGCTGGGGGCGGAGAAGAGGCTCCAGCTCATGGGTGGAGGAGGAGCAGGAAAGCTGAGGGATGACAGGGGGAGCGGAGGAGAACTAAATTGGCCTCCCCCCCCAGCATGGCGCTTGGGGGCAACTGCCTCCCTATGTTCTCCTCACTACGCCACTGATATCCACTGGCCCTGTTTCTCATATTAAAGATGAAACTGCCTGAAATTTGCCTAACTGCCTGATGCAGCTGTTCTTAATGTGGTCTCCCAGCTGAGTAAAAGTTTTGATGGCCCTACTTTATATTGCATCTCTGTCTGAAATGGGACTCTACATATACAATTTGAACTGGTATAACTGTTCTGGGGACTAAAAAGAGGTAAGAGTCAGACCAATTGAAAGTCTCTGGCTTAAGATAAAAGGGAAAAAATGGGCATGACATCATGGTAGGGGACTATTCTTGAGACCCAAATCAGGACGAGGAAGTGGATGCGGTGTTTTTAGAGCAAACAAATATCCAAAATACAAAACCAGGTAGTAATGGGGGACCAATTTTCCAGTTATCTGGGGAAAAAAATAGAGCAGAATACAAAATTTTCAGTATGTTCTTGGAATGTATATGGGACAATTTAGGTTTCAAAAAGTGAAGGAAGTAGTTGGGGGATAGCCATTTTAGATTGATCAACAGGATTATGTGCTACTGTTAATTATTTTCTTTAGTAATATGTAGGCAACTGGCTCTGTTGTCTAGTTTTGGGAAGAAATCAATGAAAGCATATGCTACAATGAATGATGAAAAGACTGGCTTTTCTGGACTAAAAAATGACATCATCAGTCACATTTACATATTCTCTCCTTGCCTCATAGGTATCAAAGGTCAAGTTCTTGACAGGAATGGACAGCCTATGCCAAATGTAATAGTGGAAGCCAAAGGAAGGGAACATATCTGTCCTTATCGAACCAATCAATATGGAGAGTATTACCTTCTCCTCCTGCCTGGAAGCTATGTGATTAATGTAAGATGTCTACTTTGTTAAATCTTAAATTCTTAAATTATGTTTGAGAGTTCTTGAAATTGCCAGAGACAGGAGCCCATAAAATTAAGGTGTTGGGGATTGGATTTTTTTTGTTTGTTTTAATAAAATAAATGTATAATGTCCACCCAGGGCAGGAGTTCCACTACCTGCTGATAACAGCCATTTACCTCATGATCTCAATCAATATTTATCCAATGACTTTGGAAAACTGAGCAGGTTACACGTACAAAAGACCTTATGTGGACACAGAACAATGGGAAGGAGGAATGGCAAGAGACAACAAAATCTCTTCCATTCTTAGGCCTTTAGAAATAGTAGTTGCTTAGTTTTAGGGTGAGTGGAATCAGATTTGTATTGGGTAAGTGTCAATAAATGTCAATTTCATCGCACACAACCCAACAAAAATAATTGTTAATAATTAAAATGTACAAAAGCAAAGAAAAATGGTGTTTAAGAAATTAGTAGAGCTTGATAAAATACAGAAAGGAAATATCCTTATGACATGCTAACTGTTTTTCAAATCTAAAATAAAGGCTTAAAAATAAACTGATAGTATTCATAGAAAATATCAAAATACAAAACACAAGTGCAGACAGCCCTACTACTATGAATGTTTCTAGTTAACTGACTATGTAAAAAATGGCACCTTCTTATTTTGTATGCAGATTTGCCTATTTGAATTCAAATTATGATCTAAAATGACTAGAGCTGGCATGTTAAACCAAGCTAGTAAGATAAACTTAAAAAACAAACAATAGTCTGGTAGCACCTTAAAGACTAACAAAACATGTAGATGGTATCGTGAGCTTTAGTGGACACAGCCACGAAAGCTCATGATACCATCTACATGTTTTGTTAGTCTTCTAAGTGCTTCCAGACTAATGTGTGTTTTTTAAGTTTATCCTATACAGACTAACTGGGCTACCCCCTGAAACTTTTGAACAAGCTAGTAAGAACATTTTCCTGTTTATCCTTAGGCTACAGTACCCGGATCTGGATCAATACTAAAGACACTGGCAGTAACAAATGGTCCTGAAAACTTCCAAGCTTTGAAATATGACTTTACTTTCCCAGAGGTCTCCGTCACAGCAAGAGATGCTGCATGCCCTACCAAACCTCTTTATCAGCATTTTGAAAGTTTTTCAGCAGCAGTAAAGCCTACTTTGCATTTCTTGGCTTTAATGATTGTTTTGTATACAGTTTTCAAATAAAGCCAAAGATGAATTAGGTGAAACTTGAAGGCAATCAAACACATCAGTGCACAAATGTGTTTTTAAAAGCTAAAAGTTGTTGTGCAAAAAAGAGTGTATATTATTGTATAATTGAATGCCTATGATTTTTAAAATCAAGTTTACTATATTTTAAAAATATTGGCTAGACAATCAATAAGAGGCTTGACTGTTTAAATATGCATAATAATGCTGATATCCATCTCCTTTTCATAAAATCAAGTTTGCAGCCAGTTTGTCTGCACCCCGGTTATACCAGAGCCAGAACTTTTATCTTCACCTGAAACAGGGTCATCCTCTAACACCAAGAGTCTTTAACCTGTGGCTCAGTATGGAACCAAATATGGCTCTCTCGTCATTCCCAAAATACATGCCGTTTTTAAATTAAAATGAAAAATTCAAAATTTTTAAAACGCGTAATTACTCATATAGTTTGAATGTGTGCATGAACTTGAATTTGACCAGTTATAATGTAAATTTCAAAGAAATGTGCAAAAAGATGCAGCATCAGAAGTCCCATTAAATAAAGTCTGTGAGTACATTTAATTTATGGTGTTAATCATGTCAATTACCAATAACATTAAGTTATATATTTTTAGTCATGCAAATGGGCATTCTTATATGGCTCTGTATTAACCACTTGCTCTGAATTTTGATGTAGTTTGGCTCTTTGGTTTGAAAAGGTTGCTGACCACTGCCCTACACTGTGTACCTCTTCTTGTTAATTTCCTTTTGAAATTTCCAATAAGCTCTTCATTAACATTTGATTCAGAAATCTAGGAGCATGTTGTAACACCATGGTCCACCAGGGACATGTCACCCACATATGTCTGGAGAAGTATGTCTCAAGGCATTGTACCTTTATCTATATTGCCTAGAGAACATAATTTTCAGCATATATGCATAATCTCTCACAAAGGGTGTGTACAAAGGGTAAGGCAGTACAACAAAGGGAAATAAAGCGGCGATTTAAATATTCACCACTTCATTTAAATCAAAACGGCTGCCGCGCTGTGCTGATCAGCTGTTTGTCGGCACAGCACAGCAGTCTAGACGGGGATCTGCTGACCTCAGAACCCTTCGTCAGCAGATCCTTTATGCCTTGTGAAACAAGGCTTACAGGATCTGCCGACAAAGGGTTCTGGGGTTGGCAGATCCCCGTCTAGACTGCCGCGCTGTGCCGACAAACAGCTGATTGGCACAGTGTGGCGGGCATTTTGGCATGGCTCGGTCGACTGAGCCATGTAGTTTAGACATACCCAAAGTGTCAACAATGCCTCTCTGTCATGTATATTAGTCCAATTGGATGGTCTCTACAACAAAGGATAAATGGACACGAATCAGATATTTGAAATGGTAACACACAGAAACTTGTGAGACAACATTTTAACCTGCCTGCTCACTCATTAATGGATTTAAAAGTAGCCATTCTTTTACAAAGTAATTTCAGGAACCAACTGCAGAGAGAGAATGCAGAACTGGCCTTGACATTCATATGCAAATTTGACACTGTTTCTCTGGGCTTGAACAAATACATTAACTGGATATCATATTATTAAGCCAGTCTTCCCTGTATTTAACACCTCATTGATATTAAAAGCTAAGTTTGGGACACTTGCAGCTCAATTAGCCTCATAAGCACCAGTACTACAATTGACAGATACCTTTCTCCCCCCCATTCCCTTCTTTTTCTGCTATAAATTCTGAGTTCCTGTTATTTCCACTGCAGCTCATCTGATAAAGTGGGTTTTGCCCACAAAAAGTTCATGACCCTGTATATTTTTATTAGTCTCTAAGGTGCCACAGGATTACTTATTATAGGCTCAGTATGTACATTTGCAGTCATGATGAAGAAATGTGAAACAGGCTTTCAGAAAAGACTTTTCATGATCCCTTTTTGGTAAACCCTATATGCTCCTGTGCCCTCTGCCAGTTGGCATCAAGAGGTTCTTGGGTCATTGCAACCCTATCAAATATGAAAAAAGTCTCCCTTAAAAAAGGTGAATGCTGATCTAACAGTCTTCCAGGAACCCCACCTCATTGAGAATATTTGAATAATTACCCAGCCAAGGCTAGGGAGGGGTCGAGCCCATTCAATAAAAAAATTGAACCCATAAATTCTATCAGCTTTCACATGCCAGTTGATGACACTACGACGTTTGCACATCCTGTAACTAAGCGCTTCCTAAAAGGTTTACAGGCCCGATACCCCGACATTAACACTCCTCAGGAACCATGGGATCTTCACCTGATAGTGATGACACTTATGAAACCTCCATTTGAACCTATGGGCCACAGGCTCGCTACTCCACCTAACCCTAAAGGCAGCATTCCGTGTCGCAATAATGTCAGCATATAGAGTGGGTGAGATGGCCGTCCTAATGGCTGACCTGCAATTTACCACCTCTTTTAAGGATAAAGACTCGCTGTGACCGCACCCTAAGTTCTTACCGAAGATGTGTTCCTCCTTTCACTTAAACCAAACTATACACTTACACTATACATTTACCTGTATCCTTCCCAAAGCCTCATGCTACCGCCTTCAAGGCACAAATGCATACCCTTGATGTCAGAAGAGTGCTCTCCTTCTATATTCACAGAACAAACTCCTTCAGATCATCTCCACAAATTGTTTCCATTGTTGATCGCAACAAGGGAAGCCACATATCATAAAGATTCTTTCATTGGATTTCCTACTGGATTGCCCTATGCTACTCGCTCAACCATTTGCCACTACCTACCTCAATATGAGTATATTCAACTAGAACCGTCTCCACCTCGGTTGCTTACCTTAGGAAGGTTTCCATCAATGACATATGTGCTGCTGCCACATGGGCCATCAGCAGGGCTTGACAATTAAGGCAATCTACTCGCCAGGTGAGTAGATTTTAGCCCGGCACAGCCGCGCAGCGTGGTCAGCGCAGCGCGGTCTGCGCGTGCACAGCGTGTGGTTCCGCACAGCTGGCGAATGGGGCTCGCCACCACTTGGCGAGCCCTGGGCATCAGAACACACCTTTGTGAAGCACTGTGCACTTTCCTCCAGACTTCTCCACTGCAAAAGAGTAGCAAAAGCCGTACTGCAAACAGCTTACCTACCTGAGCCGAAGTACCTGTCTCCTTAACACAAACTGCTTTGCAGTCACCTACTGTGGAGCACCTCCAGGGATGTCTGTCTCGAAGAAAAGGAGGTTACTCACCTTCCTGAAACTGATGTTCTTCAAGATGAGCTTCCTTTGGGGTGCTCCACTCTCTTCCTTCCCTTTACTTTGGAGGAAAAAAAAGGAGGCTGTTCTCCTATACTGGGTTCCGAATAGAGAAGGAACTGAAGGGAGGTGGCCGCACATGCATGATGGTACTGGGGTGGCTTGCGTGCCGCGCATGTGCGGCCCCAATGCACTGCTATGAAAAATCTGCTCTGAGACACTGGACACACCTACACGTACTGTGGAACACCCGTAGGGACGCTCATCTTGAAGAGCATCAGTTACAGGAAGGTGAGTAACCTCCTCTTACCTCTGCCCTAGGAAATCTGATTATAATAAGGGACTTCAACAAATTGCTAGGCCTGCTTTTGGACAGAGCAAGCAGATCCAACCATTCCCAATTCCCTGTGAGGCAGACCATTATTTCCCAGATGGGGAAATGGGGTTTAAAGGACTTACAGAGGCAGCAGCACACAAGAGGTAGAAACAATGCCTTTCTCTCACCCCTGTATCCCAGATCACAGAGGGATTTATTTATTTATTTGGTATCGGGTGGCTTGGCATATCTTTAATAATGAAATCAAACTTATTGGGAGTTTTGATCACTCATCTGTGCTGGTGCTGTTTTCATCTCCTGAAAAATAAGGAGTTCTTCTTTGAGGGTCCCTGTGGGTGCTCCGTTTAGGTTTGTCAGCGCCACTGCACACCAGATCGGTGATTCTTAATAGCAGTCTCTCAGCTACTGGTATGTGCCACACTATTGTGCAATCGCCCCAAATTGGAGGTTAAATTCTTACTGCTAGACACAATTTTAAAAGTTTGCGGAGAAAGAAATACTATTTTAATTTGAGACCAGTGACAATTTTTTGATCTTCTACCTAAGCAATCTCATTGGATGTTTACAAGGCATACTTAAGGGAAAGGATAAAATCTAGCATCTCAAAGAAAGTGAGGCAGGGTGAGCATGTGAATGTAATGTAAAGGCTCAAAGAGGCAGGCCTCAGCAATGCGGATTCTCTCTCTTCTGATAAACTCCAATATGACCAATCATATATGAAATTAATACATTAACCTTGATTCAGGCTGAATTTGCTTTGTTTAGAGCAGGGCTACTCAACTTGAGAAGCCCTGGGGGCCACAATAATACAGCACATGTCGAGGGCTGCAACTTTATTGATTCCGTTCCAGACACAAAAGACAGAACAGTTTAAAGCAAACATAAAGGAGGGTACGCTAATAGCTTGTTTCAGGAAGAAATTCCAAGTTGACCTAAGGAACGAATGGCAATAATTTCATGTTCTACAATTTGGTTCAGATGCCTTTGCAGCACAAGACTCCCTAACTTTTGAAAACATTACATAGTCTACTTAAAGTCATTGGCTACATCTAGACTGGCATGATTTTCCGCAAATGCTTTTAACGGAGAAGTTTTCCGTTAAAAGCATTTTCGGAACAGAGTGTCTAGATTGGCACGGATGCTTTTCCACAAAAGCACTTTTTGCGGAAAAGCGTCCGTGCCAATCTAAACGCGCTTTTCCGCAAAAAAGCCCCGATCGCCATTTTCACAATCGGGGCTGTTTTGCGCAAACCAAATCTGAGCTGTCTACACTGGCCCTTTTGCACAAAAGCTTTGCGCAAAAGGACTTTTACCCGAACGGGAGCAGCATAGTATTTCCGCAAGAAGCACTGATTTCAGACAGTAGGAAGTCAGTGTTCTTGAGGAAATTCAAGTGGCCAGTGTAGACAGCTGGCAAGTTTTTGCGCAAAAGCAACTGCTTTTGCGGAATAACTTGCCAGTCTAGACACAGCCATTGTGTATTGTTTATTGCAACCTACCAGTCCAATTGGCAATAGCAGGTAATGTTAAAAAAAATGGGAACATGAGTAATCCGTTTCCCTTACTAATAATTTAGTGGTATCAGATTTATTCCCCCTACACAACCTCAAGTTGCACAAGAAATGTTAAAACAGACCCAACAGCAAATTCTCTGAAGGATGCACTCATCCATATTGACTTTAAGTCCAAAGCCCCAAGGTCTGACAAATGCTGGCATTGTGATGCAACAGGTGCTAAAATTACACCCTAGGCTTTAAGATTATCCTGTGAGCTATCTTTTCTGGACAGAGGTAAATGCATAGGATTGGGTCAGTTTCTTTTTGTCCGTCAATGTAGAACTGCAGGCTGGTCACACCATCCTAACCAATCCCATATTGGGAAGAGAAGGCCTTTGAAACAGTATAATTGGGTAGAACTTGATCACAGCCAAACATCTAGTTCAGTGGCACTCAAACTTCTACATTGGTGGCCCCTTGCACACAGCAAACTTCTGAGGGCACGTTAAAACACTTAAAATATTTAACAATTATAAATGCTGGAGACAAAGTGCTCTTTGGGGGTGAAGGCTGATGGCTCACAACCCCCACCACCCCCATGTAATAACTTCATGACCCCCAGTTTGAGAGTCCCGATTTAATCCTACAATAGTGGAAGTACAAGTGCACCCTACTATTGAAGAATGGTGTTCTCACATGGGGAACCCGGTGACAATGGAACAAATAGGCTACGTCTACATTGGCCCCTTTTCCGAAAGGGGCATGTTAATTTCAGAGATCGTAATAGGGAAATCCGCGGGGGATTTAAATATCCCCCGCGGCATTTAAATAAAAATGTCCGCCGCTTTTTTCTGGCTTTTAGAAAAGCCGGAAAAGAGCGTCTACACTGGCCCCGATCCTCTGGAAAAAGCGCCCTTTTCCGGAGGATCTTATTCCTACCATGAATCGAACCTATGATCTGAAACAGAATTGAAGGACGACAGGTAGTAGAAAACAGCTGGGGACCACACATCTTGGTCCTAGGTGCCTGGCCCTGCCATGAAGGCAGGGGATTGGACTCGATGACCTCTCAAAGTCCCTTCCAATTCTCATATTCTATAATTCTATCTCAAAGAACTCTGATTATGAGGGGTAAATATTCAGTGGACTAAATCAGCTTTAGAGTGCTGCAAAATAATTTGTTCTATAGAAATATGGTTACATGAAATGGAATGCCCTAAAAATAGACATGTAAATAACTCGATAGATTATTTTGTGTGCTGAGCACAGATATTATGTATGCGACCCCAAAGTACAATAACTGCTAAAGAATAGTATAGTTGCTAATGTTTTGCTAATTTTGTATATAGTATTACTGTGTACCAAACTTCTCCAATGTATTGATTTTAGTTAGCTTTTCAATAGCTCCTTTGATTCTGAGCATATTTTATGATCATGCCATTCACAATTTTATAATATACCTGTTTGTTTTACAGCACAGTTAATTTTTGTTTGGTTGGTTGGTTTTGCTTGGGGAAATGTGAACCCGAATAACCATGTTTGTAATTTACACTGGAGGTGAACTGAAGGCAAGGCATTAACAAATCAGTAAGCAGAAATTTCAATACAGTATCTACCATAAAGTTATCACTTGGATGGCAGAAATCCGATGTCGGTCTCTCAAATAAGAGAACAGTTAATTGCTCTCTCCCCCTTCTTCCAGTTCTGGTAGACAAACCTTTTCTACAGCAAAATCTTATACAGGATGGACCTCCCTGGTTCAGCACCCTCAGTACCTGACTGGTCCTGGATGAGGGATTTTTCCAAACCCCCTGCTACTGCGTCCTTCAAGACCCCTGCTACTGCTCCTCCGGCCAGACCTCCTCCCCCACTGGGCTTCCTGGCTCCCTTCACAGCCCAGCTGAGTCATGTACCAACTCCTGGCACCCACCCTCCCGCAGATCCGCTGAGCCACACGCCAGCTCCTGGAGCCCCCCTCCACTGCAGCCCAGATGAGCTGTGCACTAGCTCCCAGGCCTTCCACCCCTCTGTTCCAGGATCAGAGAGTCCTGGACCATTGCAATCATGGTCATGCTGGACCACGGATGTTGCTGGACCAGACAATCCCAGATTTCAGAGATGCAACCTGTATAATTTGAGTAATGATTTCTCTCATGGATTTTAAATCTCATTTCCCTCAAAATGCTACATGTGTCTTTCCCTCCAGTAATTATCAGGTTTATTGTAGGTACGGAGATACATCATTTGGTATAAAAACAATATTTCACCAATGGGGGGAAAACTGCAATATTAATAAAAATACAGCCACAAGAAGTCTCTCCTGTTCTCTAGTGACTTAGAACACTTTGTGTGTACAAGGTAAAGTAAAACAAAATCTGTCAAAAACAAAGTGGATTCAGAATAATCTCTGTACATACAAATTATAACTCAGTTTTGCATGTCTATAAATTAATTGTAAGAATTCTCCTGTATTTGCTAGGTTCTCTATAGGAGGTACTTATTTTTTTCCCCGTTATAGAATGGACTGGGGTTGCATAAGAACACAAAGATGAGGTACTTATAGACTGAGCAAGATCATAGGCTGAGTCCACAAGCCTGTAATGGAGCAAGCTCAGAAACCTTCTAGCTAGCAGTATTCATAGACATTTAGTTTTGTTTTCAACTTAATTGACATAAGTAGTACACGTCCAAAGGCCTGATCCAAAGCCCACTGCAGTCAATGTGAGAGTTTCCCACTAACTTCAAATGGCTTTGACTCAAGGCCGCATATCAATGTACTTACAAAAAGTTAATTTAAAAAATGAAATATATGCTCGCAACAGAGGAAAAATCTCATTCTCTGAACCTTCAAATCATTTAGATAACTATACAACACATTTAAGAACCAAAAAATTTAAAAAATGTCAGGAGGGATACTGAAAGATTCTTTATTACACGTGATTTATTATATACACAGAAAATAAAATCTTAAGTTCCTTCAGGGTTATGATTTCATATAACAAAGGACACTAAAATAATTCAAATATATGCTGCATATTTTTTCCAGCAATTAAAGACTTATGTCTCTTAAAGGAAACTGTTGTAAGTGCACTTTTTAAATTCTATTCAAGTTTTATGGCCACTGACGAAATATTGATATTTTCTATTACAAATCTTCTCTAAAATATTATACAATTTTAAGCCATTACAATATTTATGCACTATTAGGATAGACAATATTGCACAGCTGGTTGAAATCACTACAGAGATGTGTTGTCTTACTTTGAATTAGCAAGGTCCCAATCCTGTAATCCATTTGCATTGTCACAGACCAAAAGGAATTCTGCATGCAGAAAAACTGTAGGATTGAGCAAATATTTTCAAGATTTATTTAATCCACCAAGTTGTCTGTTACATAGTTCAGTTTGCAAACAGAAAGCTTGTCCTTTACAAAAATCACTTAAGAACAAATATTTTCAAAGACCCAGGGGGAAAATACCAGATTTTTAAAGTATTAATAATAAACATTAATGCTTATAGTATACTACAAAGATTTGATTACCGGAAGTTTTATAGCATCAGTGCTATTAGAACAAAACAAGATAGGTCACTTAGAAATAGTAACTAGACAGGCAGATTGGGCTTCTTTTCTCTCCCCCCGCCTTTTTCCTATGTAATTATATTTGTTAGTCAATTGTGAAGAGGTCAGCAACATTTCTGTGATTTAAAAAAAAATTAATATCCTATTTACACCACAATTTTTAAGCTATGTCAGAACTTTTATATTCAGGAATTTAGTTTCAGGTGTGGTGTGGATTTTTAGTTTTTCCTGTTGAGCCACATTCATCAATTCTTCTAAGCACAAACAGAAGACTGCCAACAAGGAAATTCTCTCCAAATCAGGGAGTGAACAAGGTTTGAAATCTTTGCATAAAGACATGCAATATTTTCAGGTAACAAATACACAAATGTTATACTGTAGTTATTTTAGTTCAGCACGTGAATGAACATCCAAATATACACTTTGTATCATTCTGTACCAGATGTGGTGAAGGATCACAAAAAAAAAAAAAAAAAAAGAGTACTAAGTATCTATCTAACATGCTGTTAAGAACCTTTACTGTCATGACAGCTCAGTCATTTATTTAAACATACACCTTTTAAATATATATAAACTTTCTGAGGCTCCCAGCAACATGCTATAAAAACACCATGGCCTATCTGTTCCACAACTTCTTTTTTCTGCATATACAAGCGAAGGCCAGCATTAGAAGGTAGCATGCAAGAGAATTCACTGAGCTTCACACCCCCAAGGGCATTATGAAATTAAATTGCCCAGGCTTTGTCTTTAGCCCCATGGAATGCCAGGGGTCCAGGCTTCCGCCCCGCTGGGCAGTGCAGCTCAGGGTTTCAAACTTTCTGCTCCAGACCTCAGCATGTCTAACACCTGCTCTGTTTGGTAGACTCCTGAAACCAGCTTGCACATCCCTGCTTGAGCTGCCTAGATGAGCTTGGGAGCTTAATTTCCAAACTCTGGTAAAATTCATGGGTGGAACAGGCACTGGATTTGCGGGTCATTACAACAATCTGCAATCCACTAAGTCCCCCTTTTTGTCTTATGATTGCAGGTGTTGATAGACCATCCTAACTTGAATGGTCCATTAAAGTATCTATAATTTATGCTACACAATCTGTTCCACCTGCATTAAGCTGTGGTGTCAGAACTACCTGTCTAAGACCTGAAGAAAAGCTCTGGGTGGCTCAAAAGCTTGTCTCACCCCAACACGCACACACGCACACACATCTCACAATAAATTAAAATGGGCAAAAATTAATAAATCTCCAAAAATACAAGAATATGTACAAGTGATAATAAATTAAGAGTTAAAACCAACCTGACATTAAATAAGTAGAATTTCAGAAAGCTCACCCTACCAGTAATATGCTTATGAACTCTGGTTTGCAGTGATGACTGGACAAACTAAACAAATGTCAATTTGCCAATATGTTATATGTATTATAAATGAGACATGAGCATGTACTGAGGGCTGGTCACCATTATCCCTACTTTTGGTTTAATTTCCCTGATTTTAGAAAAATGGGGGTATAATTCATGATGAACTAAGAACTCAGGTACAGGTCAGATACTTGTGAAAAACTCCAGACTAACTTGGGCCTTAAATATAGAAAATTTGGCATTTGATAGTATTACTGAGATGCTCCAATTTATTTTTTATGACAAGTTTATCAAAGTCACTTAGCCTGTGAGGTTTATTAGTAAAGTACTGGAAAACTTAATGTGGGTACATGGATCTTCTCCGCTTTCTTTTCAATCTGTGAATCCTGAAATAAAGCTTCATTAGACTAGACTGTTAAGAGGATTTAATAGAAAATCTGGATAACCTGGTTTTTTAGGACAGCTATCATGTCTTAGGCGAGTTTGCTTTTATGTATGTATTTTGAGGAAAGTTTTTTTGGGGGGGTGATGAAGACTACTTCATGTACAGCACTCAAGAGTTCACATAGTACTCCAGACAGAAATATACCAATTTTCAGAAGTCAGCCCAAGGACATGGATGCCCTGAAATAATTCACTTCCACAGCGCTGTGAAGAGGGCAAAAGATGTCCCACAATTTGTATAAAATAATTCTTTAATCTTTGTCAGATTTCCTACTCATGCTACTACAAAATCAATTTGGCTATGGGCAGGTTCTTCGCATTCCAAGAGTTACACAGAATAACCCATAACTGGAATCCAACTTTGTGGACTGCTTATTTGTTTTATTCCTTTGTAAAGTGGAAAACTAAGCTAAGTGTGCTCTACTATTGGGAATAATATTCTTTTATAAAAGTAAATTATATAAATGGCATTTTTGAAAGGGGGGAATGATGAATAGGTACCCATTGTGCTAGCTAGAGGTGCAATTCTTTATCAGACAGAGCAATATTTTGTTATGATGTAAATAATGAGACTGTAGAATAGGAGTGTTAAAACCCTTAATAGCAACTGTATTCATTTGCCTCTTCCTGAGCATATGACTTTATATTGTATTCTATAGCCCACACCACTCTAACAGCCCCTGGATCACTTTGCTATCTGACCTCCTATGTGTCCAACACAGGAGTTGACTGCAAGTTTTATCACAGTTATGTTTATCAAGTAACACCATAATAAGAAGCAGCAGATGTGCAGGGAGATGCTTTATATTTAAAAAAGGCTTGCTTGTAGGCTTAAAAATAACCCTCAACTATAAAAAAAAGCATCACTATCTGAAGATGGAAAGGTGTTTCTCTGACCAAAGCAGCATCATAGAAATCCTGCACCCATCATTATAGCCTATTCCAAAATTCTATAGATTTCTCCGCCACTATTTAAATGTCTGGACTCTTCTTTCCAATGTGCATTGATTAGAAGTGGCTGTATATAAGAGAAGCAACCAGATTATTTTGAAAGAAAGCACCCAGGTTACTTTCTTGTGAAAGCATTTATGGTGGTACTCCCCAGATGACTGAAGGCACATATAAACAGCAACATTATTTTGAAATAACTGGCGTTATTACGATAGAACTTAGTCTGCATTTGCACAGCATGCAGTTATTTTGAAATAATGCTGAAATACTGTCAAGTTGGAGGACTTACTCAGACTCCTGTAACCTTCATCGTACAAGGAGTAAGAGGGCTCTATCACAAAATAAGTGTAGATGCTCCCAATTTCGAAATAAGCTACACAATTGATGTAGCTCAATTTGCCTAGCTTATTTCAAGTTAAGCCCTGCTGTGTAGACATACCCCAAGAGAATGGACAAAGCTGAACGAACTGTAGGTCAAATAGTTTTAACCAGAGACTGGCGTTACCCTTCCTGATAGTAAACTACTGAAATGTAATTTGTAAGTCATTAAAATTTAGAAAGAGAAAAATAGTACATGATTTGCTTTACTTATTTTGCCAACTATAGTACAATATGAATTATGTCTATAAATAAAAAATGAATAGAAAATGTAAAAAAAAAAGTCTTAGTAAAATGAAAGTTCATTACAGTGCTTGGCAATTCAATCTTTGTTTTGGAAGTGAGGACAGAAGACTACTTATTGTGCAAGTTACACAGACTGTGGTTTAATAAGATTTGACTAATTTCTGGTTTTGCAAAAAAAAAAAAGTATATAAAAACATACTTTCCTTGCATTCTTGGAATTCACCACAGAAACACAAACATTTCAGTTGATAAAGATGCTGAATGTTTTCTGTATTAACATGCAAAATAGAAGTTTCAAGAGAGTGAATTTGGGGAAGAGAAGGCAAGCATGGTGAGCGTTTTAAAAAAATTCATTACTGAAAAGCGTTACTATGAAACTGGATAGACTAGTTTAAAATATTTAATTTACAGATCTCTTTTTTTCCCCCTCCCAAAATGTCATAAAAATTGTGACTACTTCAATTCTTTACCATCACATCTTCTGCGTGATCTGAAGTAGTCTCAGAAATATTTTCCCCCAAGTTTACCTACTTGGATAAATAAATATGTGTCTCACCCATAATAGAGTCGAAACTTTATTTTTCTTGGGGACTTCTCAAGAAGTTCTGATTTTCCAATGACTTGGGTAAGGAACAGACACTGAAATTTTTCCTGTGATAAATACCCAAAGTTCCTGAAACTTATTTCCATGAGAGGATTTTAAAGTTCCCCCTCCCACCAAAAGTCTAATGAATATAGAGTTAAACTATCAATTCCAGTGCAACTTTTCATTAATTCAAAAACAAACAAAGAAAAATCACCCAAAATATAGCATCTTTAGTTAAATATACAAAAATAGTTTCTTATTTTCTGACTGTATAAGTCTATAGAAGCTTGTATCGAAGGTTTGTTGAAACTTTGTTGCACAGTAATGCTTAAGTTCCTTCTAACTAAAATAAGTTTGCACAATCATCTGAATTGGCTGTCTACAGACTGGACAGGGTTTATTCCGCTTTTTCAGTTTTCTTGCACAAGTAAAACATGACATAAGATGTCCGGTCTTGCCATGAACTATACAGCCATTTTTAGGTCTGCTCTGACATATGACACAGGGCTCTATACTTGAAAGGGGTAGACTGCATTCCATAGTTTCCTCTTTGTTTTCAGTCTCTCTCTTCTCAGGTTCTTTGCAATCCTCTTGGCTGCTGCAAAAGATACTACTAGATGTAGATGGCTGAGAGTATTCCTCACTCTCCTGAGATTCAGATGTTTGTGCTGGTGTATCCTCATTTTTGTCAACACTTACATCTTTATCTTCATTCATTTTCATTTTCTTACAATCAGGAACATCAAAACCCTTTTCGTGCTCTAGCTGTGTGGAACTTTCCAATTTTCGCTTTTCAGATTTGTTATTCTTCTCATCAGGAAGCCAGTCCTCACGAAGAGCCCAGCATCTGGGGCAATGCCGTGGAAGGGGAGGGTTCATTTCATTGCATTTAGTGCACTTCCAATAATCCTTTAGTGAATTAAAAGTTAAAACAGTTAAACTATTTGGCATTCCTACTATAGCCGAAAAAATTAAAGGAGATTATAAAGAAACTATATTACTGCTAAATTATTTACTCAATATTTGTAAAGAAAATTGGTCAATCACATTTTCAAATAGCTGGAAAGCGCTTTAGTAAGATCAAATCAATTTCTCAATTTTGTACTGATAGCACATAGATCTTTGCACTAAAATTTTTAATTGCTAGGAGAAAAAGTACACACACACACACACACACACACACACACACACACACACACACACACACACACACACAGA